AAATCTCCATAAAATATCTGATAATTTAATGTGCATATGTCTAATGATCATTTTTGACCGCCAAATGGCTCATTTTTTTACTTTTTCCTCCATATCTCCGAACCGCTAGGCCTACCTTCATGAAAATTTCATCGATTCTTCATCTTGTCAATACAATTCAAATGTTTTTTGAATTATTCAAATCAGACGTTCTCTTAAAAACTGAGTTACCGTTTTCGGCACTTTTTGCCCCGTATCTTCGGAACGGCTAAACCTGCCTTCGCCAAAAACTAATCAGCACGTCTCCTTATTGCTACGAATCGAATGCTGTTTGAAATATTCAAATCGGTTGATTGGTGTTCCAGAAATCGTCCACGAAAATTTGTATCCGCACGCACACACACACATACACACATACATCCATTTTTTCTAAGGTATGCCAAAATGTTCAGAAACCTCTGAAACGTAAAGATATATAAAAAAATTCATTTTTGATTTTTTGCGATTACTATAACTTACCCTACGGGAAGTTTAATTATGTTGAGCGATGAAATATTTGTACATAGACCAATACTCCTACCTATTCCGTTGAAATATTGCTAATTAATTTATTAAAATATTAATAACTAAATTACACTCTCTCATATTTATAATGTCTTGTATTAATAACATATGCAGACATAACTCGCGAGTTTTCGAGAACAAAAAAAGTTCATCATACAAGAAAAAACATCAGTACGGCTTGAGATACTAGCAGCAGTACAAAAGAAAGTTTGAGTCATTATTATATACAACATGTATGGTAATGGTTCATTTTACGATATATTATTGTTGGTTTAGGAAGAAAGCAGATCAATATACAAGATTTCCTGATTAATCTCATATAGGAAGTGTTTTACGATGTTGCAAGATCAGGGAATTATTCATGCTTTGGATTAAGTGTATGATTTATGGACTATTGCATTTATAAATAAATTAATGTCAAGTAAATACGAACAAAATACTATCATACGATACTATTATCTTAAGTCAGGGTCTGGCATCATACTGCTTGATACCAGGCTGGCTGAAAGTTAGGATCGAACCTGGGACTAGGTATTGCTAGCACTAGTTCTTTACAATGATGAGCTTAAAAACGGCTACACTGATTTCAATGATTTAAAAATTATTTGGTGTACTGGTGAGGACCCGAATTGGTCAGATTTGCGCGACAATTGACCCAGAATTAACATAACTTTAAAAGATTAAAAATCATTTCCTTTAAATTTTCGGTATTTTTGTATTTTAGAACCAAAGTTTCAAATACCTCAAGTTAAAAAAAATAAAAAATCCTGATATTTGTGAAGAACAGAGGCTCGACTAACTTACACAAAATACTAGTTAAATGCAGCTCATTATTTGGTTCACGATTTATGGTTATTTTTTTTCTAATGGCTGTGCCATTCAACCAAGAGTCAACAAAATGGTGGCAGTATTATAATTCTGATATTCTAATTTATAATTTTATTAAAAGGAAATGCACCTAAGGGCTTCTTCTCTGTTATTCGTGGTCTACATTTTCAAACGAAAATGAGTATACTTCTGCCACTTCAGAAAAAATATCATTGCCAACTAGATTTATGTGGTCGGTGTTTAAATTAATATATTTTTTACCGCAATAAAATAATAACAAACGCAGGAGTGGCGTTCGAATATCAATTAATCAAAACCATTCCCATTATCGGCGACGCAGTTTGCGATGGGACGGGTTTTTACAAAGATGACCTTTGTAACGTGGAATAGAAAGTGGCAATAATAAAACGATGAGATCTATTCCGAACTGAGAGGTCCATATAGACCCGGCCAATGAATAGCTAATGCCGATAGGTGACCATTGAAGATTTGACCCATCGCTCTATGGGAGCAACTCGTCTGACCTTTCTCATGCTGCCCAGATAAAAGATTGATGGATCGATTTGGACGTTTGTATTGCGCATAATAGATGCAAAAATATTAGAGGAAATTATGTTTATCCTATTGATAATGACAAAAACTGTTGAACCGTTTCTTTGGAAGTTGTCATTTACGTTTTGGATAGAAATTTTGAACCAAATAAGCAGCTGCATTGACTAGTATTTTGTGAAAGTTAATCGAACCAGTTTTTCATATTTATCAGGACATTTTTTTAATTTGAGGAAAATAAAACTTTGATGCTAAAATATAACAAATGCAGGAAGATTACAGGAAATGGATTTTTAATCTCTTGAAGTTAATTCTGGGTCGATGGTGGTGCAAATCTAACCAACAGGTCTTTAAGAAGTTTGACCAAATGGTTTTTAAATTATTGAAATCATTGTAGCCGTTTTTGACCCCATCATAATAAAGAACTAATGCTAGCAATTCCTAGTCCTAGGTTCGATCCCAACCTCCAGCCAGAAAAAACTCATTATACTTTAGATTAAAATAGAATCATCTTACATAACAACATATTTCAAAATTTGCCAGATCGTTATGTAATATATTATAGGACACATACCAAGGCGGGCACCAGCAATAATCTCAAGTACCATTTGGCTTTATGTCATGCATATTTTAAACACATCTTGTAATTGTATGCGACATATGATAACTTCAAATCGCAGGTTCAAAGTTTAACAATTATAATTCACAAAAATGCCAGGCATTAGGCAATATCATCATTCGACGAATAAAAAGATATGTAATGGAAATGTACTATATTTTCATGTTGCAAATTAAAAAAAAAAAAAAAGAAATTGTTTTTAAGAATGTTTCCTCCATATAATAAAATCAAAACAATGACTAAATGTCTTAAGTGTAAAAGATTGAAATTTAAAAAAAAAAATAGTTCCCAAGTTTCTGTTTTGTCAACTTCCATATAAGTAAAGTTAAGACAGTTTTATTTGAAGTCTTGAAAGCAATTGATACTCATCAAATAATTCTGAGTAACCAATAAACCACAAATTACTGATGAGTTTCCTATTATTAAAAAAAAACAATACGTCTCAGATTTATGATTTCTTAATGTTGAATAGTAATATAGTCAGCAGTCATTGTACTAGTTAGTTTTTATTTGAACTACGATGATTGCAGTATCACTAGTATAGCTTGTATCTTTTGTAATTTTTAGTTATTAATTAATTCTTCTGAAATAATGTCCTCAAAGATTATAATTACTATAAAACTCGAATATGCGTCCAATTATCATTAATGATGATGAGAAACACGAGTAGCCGCAAATCATTCGCACGAAATTGCGCAATGAAGCGTCGACTTCATTTAGTTCGTAAGAATAAATTAACATAATGAATGCATTTGCAATAGACGTTTTCCCATTGGAATTTATACTGTTATATTGTTGCATTTTTTTGCAATGAGACCATAAAGATGCACGCAAGCCTCTTTTATATGTGTGATGGTAATAGATATATGGAAAAGAGCTAAGGCATCCAGGTAAAAGAAATAAAACTGAAATATATTTCTAAAATATTTTAATATTACTTGAAAAAACTACTAAATATGATTAAGTAAAATTTTATTAAATAATCAAAAATATTATAAAATAAGGTGAGGTAATTATATTTATCATCTTTCATTAAAATTTTGTTTAAATACTATCTATACAAGATTCAAGTTATATCACATATTAACATGTATCAAACCAAAAAAAATATATTGATGCCCATATATGGACAGACACTGATTTGTAATGCAGAAATTGTATTTCTTTGTTTTTATTCCGACCTTTCACAATATGTGTTGAAATTGAATGAATGCCTTTAGTTTTTTTGGAACTGTATATAAACAGTTAGAATTGCGCAATACTTATACTGAACTTTACTGAGGAGATATATGATTGTAGATATATTTTTATTGGAAAGATTGAACAAAAAATAGTATATGACGATAAACTTAATTGTATTTTAAATCAAAAATTTGTAAATAAAATATGTTGTGAATAATTCAGTTTCCTAATAGGTTTCTAATTTCATAGTAAGGAGGATGGGAAGCTAACTCGTGTGTATGTTATAAAAATATAATTGATATAAAATGAAAGTACATAACTGTATTTCCATCAGAAAACATTTAATAAATAAAAATATGTCAAATTAATCTAATCTAAAATAATCAAAAATATGAACTGAATGCTACAGTTCAACCAAAAGTTGGATACATTTTTTATTAATAGGTTCAGAAAATAATTTTAGATTTACTAGATAGGAGTTTATAATTTGATAGTAAAATAGATGAAACCAAACTCGTATGTGCAATTTCAAAATTAGGTTGAATTAAAAATAATATAACGATAAACTCAATTGCATTTACATCCAAAAAAGAGGTTACTAGAATCTGTAGAAAATCATTTAGTTTAATCAAATGATAATTTCTTAATTCTGGCTCAGTAATTTCTAACAATTTGTTACGATTGAGTTCTGAATTTCATAGTGAATATGAGAAACAAAATGGTGCGAATAATTTCAAAATTAGGTTGAATTAAAAATGATAAAGCAATAAACTTAATTGTTTTTCACCGCAAAAATTTGTATCAATTGCAAAAATTCATCCTAATGAGTTTAAACTTTAAAGCAAACTTGTATTTACCATTTCAAAATTAGAGTTAATAACATTTAAATCAAATGTACCAACATGCAATTATTGCAATTAGGCAATTGATAACCTTTATTCTACCAGAAAAGAATGTTATTTAGTTAACTAAATTTTGAAATAACTTAAAATACTTGGCATATCCAAGCAAAAATCAGACAAGTTTAATTAAAAAATATATATATGTTATTGCTTTAATTAATCGATCACATGTAAAAAAAAATATTTTTTTTTGTGAAATTATCTTTTACGTATGACAACACAAAAACTTACATAATAATCAATATAAAACATATTACAAGCTAATTACATATGTACATTTCTCACATTGGCTAAACCTCGAAGAACGTTTATTAAAATAATTTTATTCTTAAAAAAATATACAAAAACATTTAAATAAAAAAATACAAGCTAATTGTTACCGTTTAAATATGAGTTTGAGTGTTTTCTTGAGATTGGGTAGTATCAACCCTCAACAGCTCCGTTTCTTTAATCTGCTCCTCCGAGTTATTGTCTTCTGCAAATAACACAAATAGTTTGGTTTTATTAAAATAATAAAATATTTAATCATCATCTATATAATATCAGGACTACATCTATAAGCTAAACATATCCAACACCGAATCAATCACCAATGGGTGACCTTTCGACCGTTTTTCCTTTATTTAATAAACCATCAAAATTACTGAATGTTGTATACGACAGATTGTAATTTACAAATGTAAATAAAAACAACCTATATAATACATAACATTATGTAATAAATATTTAATCTTCATCCAGTATGAATCAAAGCAAAAAGGTGCAGTATGACGAGGCATTGTTTGATATTTGTTGAGCAAACTGTAATTAACTCTTGTTAAATGCAAGAAACACTTTTGTAATTATTGAGAAAATTGCGTGTGCTTTTATTAAATAACAGTAAACATGTATTTATGAAATAAGGACAACGTTTTATCATAACTGATAAAGTTTTTTTGTTCATAATGAAATGTTACTTGGTATAATATCGGCTAGAATAGATAATTATTAGTTAAATGTCGAACCTATATTAAAATGTTCAATTAGAACGCACATTCCCCATTAAAATGTTTAGTGTTTTTCTTGTTATTTTTCACAATATCTATAATATCTAACAAACCTATTATTTTTTTATACATTTTTTTTAATTTTTTTTTTATTTTATTTTATTTTTTTTACAAATACAAAATTAAAATATCCTAGTTATATGATATTTAAATGAAACATTGGAGTGAATTCTAATAAATTTTTTTTCTTTTATTATTATTATTATTTTTATTTATGTATTTTTTTATATTTTTTTCGATTTTTTTGTGTCACAATAGCTTAAAAGATTAAATTGTATCTTGATTGCTAGTAATAAATAAATAAATTAAAAAAAATTATAATTTATGTGTTTATCAATTTTTGCACATTTTAGCATTGAATACTAACCATATTTTTTTGTCCTATTAATTATTATGTGATAAGTTATTTATAATAATCAATTTATACCTATCTTATTAATTCTAATATTGTTAATTGGTTATATTTATTATTATATGTCACTTTTTGTTTTTATTCTACTTTATTGTTTTTCTAGTATTATTTTATTATTCAGAAATTTTATTCATTTTATGTATTAATTTTATTATTATTATTGTTTGCTTTTATTTTATATTAAATCAACATACTACGGATATCATTTTAATGGAAATTTTATCTTTTATTTTGTACTCTTTTTGATTAAATTTACGTTACTGATTATTAATGTTACTAGATGTTAAATTATTTAGCAGTTGTAACAAATATAGTAGTTAACAAAAAAATCATACCGATAAAAGCATTTTCTCTAAAAGTTACTGTGCGAAGTAATATTTAAAAAAAATAATTTTAATTATTAAATAATAATTAGAAATAATTTCCTTATCTATGATATAATTATTGTGATCAATATAGGGTAAGATAAGAAGGTCAAAAACAAAATATAAACGTTTTTGAATATCAAATGAAAAAAAAATTTATTAAATTATTTTTTCCATTTTGAAAAAAATGGCGAATTTTTTAAGGTTTTAGATTTTACCTTGGGTGAGAATAACTGTTGAACTATTGAAAATTCAAGTTTATTTGAAAATTAGAAATAATTAATAATGTTTTAGAATATCAAGTGAGTAAAAATTAATGCATTATTTTTTCATTTTAGAAAATAGTAAAATATATTCCTTGATTACTGTCTAATTTTATAAAATTTTAGATTTACCTTGGGTCAAAAACAAAATTTACATGTTATCGAATATTAAATGAGGAAAAACTATTGATTTTTTTTTTCATTTTAGAAAATGGCAAAAAATCACTTAATTAATTTTACATAATTTTAAATTTACCTTGGGTGAGAATAATAACTCTTGCACATCCAGGTATATTTAAAAAACTAGAAATAATTAACACGTAATTTAATTTTATTCCATAAACTTAATTTCCAATTAATCATTCAACACTTTGATAGGTGTTTTGGTATATTAAAAACAAATATTCCACTATTTAAAAAAATTCAAACGACTTATAAAAAACATTCACTATTTTTTCAGGTCTCTGATCACAATTCTTAAACAACAAGCCTCTTGCATACGAATAATCACTGCATTTAAAAATATTTTGCAAAACGAATAATTTCTTCTAATAAAAGTGACGTCAATCCTTTAAAAATTTGCTCATGAATAACTACTATAAATGCAAAATCAGTGCCAAGGCAGCATATCAAAACACATCAATATCTACAATTACACAATAAGTATTGCCAATGTCACCGCATAACGGTTCTTTCTAACTTATTCAATAAATCATTATTAGAAGAGAGATTTGAATTATGCATTCAATAATGCATATCGGTTTATGATAATATTAAAAAATTTATTAGAATAAATTATTTTGTTGCTTACTTTTTTTAGGTAAGGTTAGTTTCTGCAAAGCACTCGTTGGTAGTTCGACCATCAGACTGAATATGAATCCTATTAGAAAACTTAGGGATATCGCAGATACTGTTTGATCCATCTGAAAATATTAAAAAGTATTGCTATAACTAATCTATAATTGACATAAAACGATGTTTTTAAATAAAATTGCATTTGATGATACGATGTTATTAGACATATAATTAATTCCACTGTTGTCAGGCAGCAGTGACAACGATTTTCACTTGGAAATAGATAGCAATATGTTCCCAAGTGAAAATAGTCCTTGCCCGGCATTGCTGCACCAATAAAAAGTCAGCCTCTAGTCAGCCTCAGATAAATTCTAATAATAAAATTATCAAATATGGATGGATTAGTCCAGCGGTTTTCAATCTGTGGGGCGCGACCCCTCAAAGAGACGCCAGGCTGTTACAAAGCAACCCAATGATGCCTTTTCCTTCTTTTTGATATTTTGCCTTTACGAATTGTGATTATATTTTAATGTTGTTGCATCTGTTAGAATTAGCATAGGCAACATGTAATTTAGATTTATCATTACTGTTGCACCAATGATCTGAAGAGCATATTTTTGATTTACATGCCTTGAATACAATATGTCTAATGTAATCTCATCAGATAGATTATGGTCAACTACTGGGTTGCCTTCTAGAAATATTAGGTACACAGCTTATCGAACACATAGTCCTGATTGAAAAGATGAGATAAAATACAAACTTGATTGATGACCTATCTAATTATTATAAATAAGTTTAAATAGACTGTTTGCTGACTCACAAAGAATGTTTCTGTTAAATAAAGTGGCACCCGGACATTGGCATGCAGCACTCTAAGAAGCAAAGGATGTATCAAATAGGCAGCATACGATAGTCTTCCCAACCCTTGCATTGGACCCCAACATAAAAAGTCCAAACCCCACCCTGGAAAAAAATCAAAGAAGGATTGCAATAAAGTAAGTGAATTATTTTCATTAAATGAAGTGAATTTTTGGGGAAAATTAAAATGGTCATATATTTGACTATATGTGCTATGTACACATATGTTAAATCTACACTTTGGTTTTTTTTTTTTAAATATTTTTAAACAGTATCAAATTTAACACTTGAACAATTTTATAAAAAATCAAATTTGATTTCTACAATTTGTCAAAAGCAATAATAGAGCTCGGCCAGTTTGATATCAAGCAGTAGTGATATCAGATTTTCACTGATCTCAAAATCGACACAAAGTGCTCGTCATATCCTTTAGTGTACTACTATAAAAATACAAATCAGTAAAAAATACAAAATAAGTATGTTAAGAATAAATTATGACTAAAAAGGTCAACTATGGATCAACTACTAAGTTGCTCCTCATATAATATTTTGATTGGTTGTAACTCCAATAATTTTTTTAAATAAAACAGGATATTAAAATGAATATTTTAAATTTGTTTATTATCCTCTTGAATCTTTTATTATTATTATTTTGCCTGGATATAATGCAATATCTTACATCCAATTCCGTGAGCAGCTCCAACAGTAAATATTCCCACCATAACGCCATAGATAACTTTGTAGTATGTCACATAGATAGCAGACACAGTGGCATCGATTTCAAAACCATCTCGGTAAAAAACATAACCAGAAAGAAGATTGAGAAGACCAATTGGTACCAGGAGCAACCATAGGGTCACAAACCACTGGAATAGAGGGAATATTATTATATGATCCATAGACCTGATGGAAAAAATTCTGGACCAACTTTTTACCTTCTTCTTCTTCATATCAATTTTATGCTCTTTCAAATATTCCAGAAGAAAAGCAAATATTATTCCAATTATGTAAGTGGATCCATTAGTATGACCAGGAACGTAGACGTCACGATATTCAGCATTGACATATAGTAGATTTCGAATTATTCTAATGAAAAAAAATTAATTTTTAGAATATTATAATAAGCAAGACTTGGGATGACTTCAAAAGGTAAGCCTTTAATTACCAAAACATATTTTTAATGAAAAAAAATGTAAAAAAACGTGTCTTTTTAGTTCATCACCAACTAATCATCGTTAACTCAAACTGATAACTTTTAAATTTTGGTTTTCAAAAATCTTCTTATTTTATTGGCGAAGCAATTTCTATAATAGTTTTAAAAATATTACCACTTACTCTGGGTATAATTGTGGACCAGGAAAATAGTTATTAACATAAGTTATCACAGCTGGAATTATCAAAGATACAACTAACAAGGAACCCAAAATATATCTCATTAGTCTTGGGTATTTAATACATATTATTACTACCGGCATCATAACCATAAACAACTGGGTATCTGCTGCCAAATACCAAGTCTGCTGCAGACACTACAAAAAATAAAAATTCAAATTTAGAAGTAAATCAGTTCCTCAAAATAATGGTATTAGATATGACTACTTACAGCGTCTGTACTAAAGTAGTTATTGATGTAAAATATATTAGCCCACCAATTAGTTCTACAGAATTTTCTTTCATTTCCTACAATTTCATTCCAAAATGGACCGTCTCCAAAATGGACACTCCAGGTTGCTGAAATTAGTATCATTGCTGCCATTGGAATAGTTAACCTGGTAAAAGTTGGTAAAAAAATACAGATTTACTAATTAATTTAGAAAATATAATAAAAAATGTATTTGTTCATTATTAAATTCAAACCTGCTCATAAAAGTAAAGTTAAAATAGTTAGAATAGATTGCATTTTAAGAGATGCATTTCCAAACCATCGTATTAATTTTTTATGAATGAATTTTTCATTAGGATTCTTTTATCCTAAGTTTTATATCATTCGTCAAATAATTACCTAATGTATCTATATATTGCTGCAACTATGTACATTTGAAAATTAACTTTATGCTTTTTAGAATATTCTATTAATCCATTAGCCATCAAAAGTGCACTTATTCCTAAATAAGCTTGCACGCAATTAGTTCCATTTATTATAAATTGTGTGGTGGGTACTGAATAGAGCTGAATGAAGAGAAAAAATTAGATTAGAACATGATCTATGAAAAAAATATATTGATTTGATTATAAACTAGTTTTAAATAAAATATACAAGTTTCTTTGTAAGTCTAGTCTAAAACCTCATCGCAAAAATGCAATTCTGAGTCTAATAATGTTGATCCAGTTTAAATTTATACCAACATCATCAATACTAATATTTGCTAAAACTTTTGCAAGTTGTCTTTTACAAATTTTGAGCTTTCTTCATTTTATAATTAAGATACTTAAATTTTTCAATTATTATTTATACCTCTTCTATGTAATTAGTGTTCCTGATGGGTAGATGGTCTGCACCATACATCAAAGAATGACCATTGACAATACTGGCCATTGTCAGGAACCGAATTCCCTGAATACTACGAAATAATTTATTTTCTTCATCTACAGTAGTGACTAGGCGAAAATAGTTTCGCTTTACTGAAAAACATGATAGTAATCTCGCACCTGAAAAATGATTCACAATAAATAAATGTTCATTTGGTGAACATGTAAAAAAGGTATACTATAAGAATGATCAAAGATTTGATGTTTAATTATAATCTTTCATATTTACATGGTGTTTTCAAAGGCTTTTTATAGTAGTTTATATCTTGGCTTTTCCGTCTGTTTAAAAATTCGAAAACTGTTGCCCAAATACATAGAATTGCTAATAGGAAACAGATAAATGTTACGATCCAATCTAGAGCATCTAAAATACGGAAAAATAAAAATAACATAAGTTCAAATTTATAAAATATATGTTAATTGATAAATTACCATAAACAAAAAACAATGAATAATAATTTAGCTAATATATTCTGGCTAGATATAAAATAATTATAGTTAGTTGTAGACTCATACGTCATATTTGAAATCTTTCTTATTGGAAACTTATGAAACGTTATTAAATTATTATACTATTATTGACCACTATTAACTTATATGCATTTATTTATGTTTTCATAGATAGAGAGGAAAATTTAGGTAAGTAGTAAAATAAAATATTATAAATTATACCTCTATCCGGCCTTTCTCCAGTTCTGCACCCAACCCTGAGAATTTCTGCTCTAATTCCATATTGTTTGAATTCGCGCTGCAGACATCTATCTAAAGTTTCTTCTAATGAAGAATTTTGAACTAAATTTGGTTTTACTTCTAATTTATTATATTGCCTGGATAAATCCTCTCCAGGCATATAAGAGTCACCTAATTGACACCAATTTAGACATACTCCTCTTACTGGTAAATCGTGCCGAAAATGGCGAGGATCCTGGAAAACTCCTTTGAAGGAAAAAAATTTAGGTAAAATATATAATGTATGAATTACCAAAATTATGATGATACTGCCCTTGCCAAAAACTTTTTAAGCAATCAACACAAATCCAATTTAATATAAATCAACATATTATCATGTAAATAATACCTTTATCAAAGTTCAACTTATATTTGATCATGATTCATTATAATTTGTATTTCACATTAGCAATATTATATTTAATATGTAAATTAGAGTAATCGTGGAATAATTGATTCATAAAAAATTGAATACATTAGCATAACTAATTAATTAAATTCTGTGTAATTCCACGCACATTATATCAAATGAAAGTATATATATAAAAACTTTAACATTGATACATGGAATTTTTCCATCAAAATATTTGCTATTGATCGAATTAAATAATATTAACATTGAAATACAAATAAATGCAAATATGAAACTTATGATTGAAAAAACTGATGTGAATTGTCTGGAATTCCAGGGCTTTTGGATAAACAATTTTAATAGCAAATAATTTTCAATTACTTTGTATGTATTTTTCGATATACTTGTTATTTTTTTTAATAATAATATTAAAATGTCGTCTTTGACCCAGATCAACATTAACCACATATATTTTACATATAGCTAATAGCAAAATAAACAGGTCTTGTAAATCTATTGAAACAAAAATAATATTATCTCGAACAAGAATTATTGACATGCGTAGATATGAAAAACTATATGAAGTGACAGTATTGTAATTAATGTTAAAAGTTATTTATCTTCTGTATGCAAAATAGTGTGATATTCTACAACAATTTGTAAAATAACCATTACGTCAACAATAAATTGAATCTCATTAGTGATGATGAGATACAGAACCGATTACATGTTTTATCAATATCTTTTTTTTATTTTATAAGAACCGATTTTTTTTAACAATGTCAAGTGCTAAACATGTTTTTTTAGGAATAGATTTGCACAAATGCGTCCAATGAACCAGAAATAAACCAGATTAAAATTCCAATACAACATCACTCAAAATTTTTTGACAATTTTTTAACGAAAAAACTGAACACAAAATCTTCTTATCCATTCTTCAAATACTAACATTTTCATATAAAAATAATTAGCATAAATAAAAGTAATAAGCATTTAGAAATGAACTTTCATTAGAGAAATGAAGTAATTGCTGATTAATAACTTCTATAATATTTGTGTTTGAAGAACTTCATGTAATTAAAGTTAACACACGTTCATTGACTGCTTGTATTTTTTTTACTTTTTTGCGATATAATCTTATTCTTTGAACAGCTGTAATATCTGTCTTGCCTAAAAAATATTTTCCATTTTAATAACTTCAAAAATTTATAGAAGCTTCGAATAATATAGAAATTATTTCTTAGGAACAGGGTAAAATATTCTTCTGATTCAGCATTTTTCATTAATTCAAGATTTGTACTACGATGTTACTTTAAAATGTTTATTTATTTTTTCAATTTTCTTGTTGATATCGGTACGTATACAACGTTGACGCCGGTACGCATACAACGTTGATGCCGGTACGCATACAACGACAGATCTCTAATCACAATCGACCCGTATAAAAATGATATCATCGAGAGCGAATGACAAATCATTGGCACTCGACTCTTATCTTATTTTATCTGCCGTAACACACTTCAGTTGCATTTGTACGGATTTACACCCTAGTCGCGCCTGGAGAAGTTTTACTGCAAAAAAATACTTTGGAATTAAGGCGATGGCTGGTTAGACATCTTTTGCCTTTATCAATGCAGATCACATTTACTATAATAATTACTATACTAGTTAATTATGTTGGTGATTTGGGAAAATTTTATAGGAGTCAATAAGTTTAGGTATATACATATTACATTCATTTTTTAATCCTTTCCACTCAGATGCCAAATACATATAAATTCTGCATTTTGCGATTGGAAAGGGTTAATATTACATTTTTTTTAGTTTACAGCATAATTTTTTTTTATTTTGAGACAAAAATTTAAAAATTTGATGCACTTTCTTTGTAAATGGCAGATTATAGTTAAATATAGATTACAAGAAAAAACTGTCCGAGAAGGGAATAGATCTCTTACCATACAACCACGAATAAACTCAAGTTTTACATATTAAAGAGAAGCCAATGAAATATTCATTAGTTTTATTTAGATGATACAGCAACAATTGTTTTATAGTAAGTGCATGTCCACTTAGTTTTACAAAGTCGTCGTCTTTGACCGCTCTCGTAGCATATCGGTATTAATATAACTCGTTTTTCCTACAAATACCTGTTATAACAATATGGTGCGCAAATCGATCACATAATGAATATTATTATTGTATAAAATATTAACATTACAAACATGTTATTTGCTAGAACTTTTTCTATAGCCTGTAAATCAGTACTGGCACTTTTTTTCTCAGACAATACGTAAATTTATTACACTTCTCGTGTTGTTGATTAGAATGAGTTATTTGCTTATGACATTTACATTTATTTAAATTTGTTTGATGGATTTATATGTTTACCAGTTCAATAAATTATACTTTTAATTGATTTTCTGAATTATCAAAGGGACTTATAATATATGTAATTATATCAATAATAGTGTAAATTTTTGTAAATTAACCGCTTTTCGTAGACCCCCAATATTTTAGGATGATGATAAAAAATTTCACTTGAATAAATAATGAATAAATAATTTTTCAATTTTTTTTTAGTATTTTCAAATTAAAAGATATGAAGAATGCTAAGACTATTGGAAAAACAAATAAATGCAAGTCTTTATGGTCAATATCGTCACAAATGAATTTTTTTCTATAAACAAAGAGATCGTCATCAGCATCTCTTCCTGTACCATTTTATCACTATGCATTTAGCATAACAAGAAATACGAATCCAGAATATTAACAGTTAATAACCTGAAAGTCATAAAATCATTGTCTCTACAAACCTGTTTCATTGTTACATATTCTTTTTGACATTTTTATACTTTCTAAAGATTTTATACAGAAATATTTTTGAAAAATTATTTTAATGCAATAATTGTTTTAGTGCCTAGCTAAGATACAGTACGAAGGAATATATATTTTTATCAATATAAACTTTTATGAATATATGCTTTTATGAAAGAAACACAGTTTTCTCGATTCCCTATACATCACACGTCTGTCTAAAATAAAAGATCGGATATTCCATTATCAAGATCAACATCTATGTAAATATGGTTCTTGAATAATATTGTTATTATTTTCACACTATCGTAAATTAATCAAATCGTAAATCTAAAGTTTCGTAAACACTTTTTGTAGCATATATTTATTTGAGACCTGTTTAACAAGATTTGTTTAAAACTTGTGCCAAATTTATTAAATTAGTACAAAAATAAAAGATAAACCATTGGGTTTTCCCACAGTTAAAAATAAAAAGCCACTGTTAATTCTTAAACCAAATTAAACTAAATTCTATATATAGACAGATTGCCATTTATATGTAAATTAAAAAAAATAGATTATGTATAAGCCGATGTGGTAATATTGAATGATTTGTTACCAAAGTTGATTGACATTGTATATTGTTTTTTCCCATTTTTTTAACGTTTAGAATAAATAATAATTAATATTATATGATATTATATATATATATATATATGAAATTATTTTACATATACGTTAATTTAAAAATATTTAATATTACTGCAAAACGAACTGAATGCCTACATTAAGTACTAAATTTTTTACATTGGTTCTAAATTATAATAAAGTTATTTGACTATTAAATATTATGTAGTATAATTATTATTATGAATTAGGATTTTTTCATGTATCGATAATTTTAACTACTAATGAACTAAAAGCCTCTTGAGTCCCTAAAAATGAAAAATTGTATTATATTTTCTGTGTTTCGAGGGTATAGAATGTGCTGAACTGTATAAGATTTTTTGATAAATTTTTTGAGTAGAAGGAGGCATTTAGTTCAAAAAAATAAAATCAAGCATAATAATTGCTTTCCATTATAATCCAGATCAAAAATGTATATTTGCAATATATAATTTTGCGACAATTTTTCTGAATAAAAAAAATTAATGAACTTAATTACCTCAGTTTGAAGCCAATTTTCAGTAGGATTATTCTCATCTAAAGCATGTAGTTGTAAATGAACCAGACAATATTGAGATCCTGGTTCTGTATTTTTTCCAACGCAGGTATCATAATAATCCAATAAATGCATAGGAGGCATTAGACTATAAGTTGTCACTGAAATAAAAAAAAAAAAATTATAATGTGATTATTTTTTTTTAATTTATAGATCAAGTATACAGGGTGTACCAGAACTTAAACGAGTTGGGAGTATTGACCTTAACTGTTCTGAAAAAAATTAGAAGAATAAATTATCTCATTGTTTGGAAATTATGAGCTTTTAAGTACAATCTAGAGCTTTGTTGAAATAATGATCATTTTTAGTGATTAATTTTGTTCATTTAATCTTTGGAACACTGTCAATAACATTTCAGGAACCACAGTCAAAAATAATAACACTATTGTGTTATTGGATAATTAATTGTCTTAAAATAAAAAATGACATAATTTCACCAAAGACCCAGGTTAAACTCAAAATAATTTATGTCATGATTTCCAATCAACGTGATAAAAAAACATTCTAATTTTTTTCAAGACGGTTAAGGTCAATACTATCACCTTGTTTCGGCTTGACCTTAAGTTCTGGGATACCCAGTATCAAAAAAATCCAATTATTTGTGTTTATAACCAACATATTGCCTTAAAAATTATATTATTTTGATCGGCAAATTAAATATATGCAAAAAATGATTCAGGATTTAGATACTTTATATAATTTAATAAAATATGTTAATCAATAGTGTAACAAACATGTTGCCGAAATTTCTTAGACAAAATACTTTTTACTTTTAGCTTGAAAATTATCTACATAATTTCAACTATATTGCATTCCATAAAATTAAATACCTTGGGTTGAAAAAATTTCAAATAAAAATAAACTGGTCCACTTCGCTTCAGGAATAAAATTTTAACAACTTTGATAGCACTTTTTAGGTTCAAAACTATTTTATAAAAAAATTTAATATATTTATTCAATAATTAAACCAATTTTAGTAAATTTAATGTTTACCTAATTTATAAATTAAGTGT